TTTTGCTTCCACCTCATCCAACAGTCTTCACTTAACCGCAAGTCACACTCCCTGCCCTCATGGTTCCTTGCTTCAAGCTTTCCTCACGACATCAGTCAGCTTGTTGGCATAGATGCTCTTTCCTCACTTTGTCAGGTGGATCATGCCTCTGCCCAGCAGTCCTCAATTCTCTAAGAGGGTCCTGCTGTCATAAAAGCAAAATTCTTGTTGGTAACATAAGGTGCATAACCAGGTATTAATCCACAGGACCAATCTGCTCCCTCTCCAGCCTCTTCTCTCCACCATCAGGGCTAAGAACTTCACCTGGATCACCAAGTATGAGCAAAAGGCTCTGCCAGAGCACTAAGCTTCTTAATTAGCTAAGGCCCTTCATGGGAACAGGGAGGGTTGGTGAAACCTATTCAGGGGTGAGGACAACATGTCAGCACAAAAAAGATTATTCTGTTGCTCTGATATTGAACACTGCATATAAGCTGTTTGTGCTTAATCAGTTAGGTAGGTAGAAGAGTAAAGACCGAGTCAGATACTTTTCTCTAGAAAGTTTATAAAGCAAATGAAATGTAAACAGCACAAACCAAATAATCAGAAGGTAGTCTAGGGGTACAAGGCTGCTGACATCTAGCTAACTGTACAGCAATACCATATAGGGCCCAGACTGCTTAGGTGACACTGTCAGAAACACCAAATCTAGGTAGGGATGTAGGAGCAATGAAGAAAAAGTCATTTGGGATGGGCTGCTTATTTGGGAGAGGTGTGGGCAAAGACAAGGTGGCACAGCAGCAGCCAAATGGCAGGTTCAGATGGAAGAGAAAAAAAAAAAAAAAAAAAAAAGGAATAAGGTTCAATACCTTGTTCAAGCACCACTCCCCACAGCAGAAGGGCAGATATCTATGGACAGTGGTGAACCTTACCTCCAGACCTGGGTTTGCAGCTAAGAAAGCACACCCAAGCATACACACACAATCCTCTGCAGACACTAGCAGTAATTAAAAGCAACAACAGAGGCTCTTGGCATCCCTAAGTTTACTTTTATGGAATACATGATCATTTCTTAATTTCTAAGAGCTTTTCTTCATGCTTTACGCTCATATTTAATTTCCTAACTTCTTACCGCAAATTTTAAAAGTCTTCACACACCAAGTTAGCACTGAAACCTAAATTTCTGCCTGAAAGCCAGAACTTCTATGGTTCCTAGCCATACAAACATTCAGTAACTAGTCAGCCATTTCAAAACTCCTGAACCACCCATCCCATATCTCCAGTGAAGCCTTCTCATTCTCTGCCCATCCTACATGAATCCTTAATGATCTCAAACTTTCTCTCTGGTCCACTA